GTTTAGAATCCTAAACACATAAGGTTTCTAGATTCGGTCGGCAACAGACCATAGATCCGATCAAACTATAGCATCATTTAGCACGTAAAAGGAATTTAGGCATCATTCCTAAAATAAGCTAGTGCTTGTGTCTATTCAGGTGCATTACCTAAATCTATTTGACACACTCCTCACAATCATCACTTAGCATTCTAAGTTTAAGTCTAGAAATAAATCCATATTCCTAGTTCGCTTAAACTAATGCTCTGATACCAACTGTGACATCCCCAAAATCACGGCCAGAAAAGACCGATTTTGTTTATGCTTTATAAAAATCAGAGTACTTCATTTTATAAAAATGTTGCGGAATTTGTTCCCAGAAAAACATGGTAAATACATTATTAAAACATTTTCGAAGAAACGTATTTATTTCATTTTAAAACGTTTGGGATGTCATCGTTAATACATAAACATAAGCATAAATAGAACTTACAATTATTTACACTAGTGATCTACATCTCTTTAAATCTCTCAGTGTAATGTCACTTCATATCAACACTTGTGATATAAATAAACTGAGTGGGTCAGGTTGGGAAACCTGGTGAGTACATAGGGTTTTCAACCCACAATAATATAATTATTATGTTTAAACAATCAAGCAATTAAACCCAATTACCCATCCCCATTATCTTCTTTATTCTTAAGGATCTACCCTAAGAATCAACTATTTCTCGTTCATTCATTCCTAAGGAATCGACACAAAGTCCATCATAGCCACGATTTACACAACAGACACTAAGTCTGCATAGTCACCAGGGTTTAGGCATCAAGTCTACATGATCACCAAGGTTTAGGCATCAAGTCTGCTTGATCACCAGGGTTTAGGCATTAAGTCTGCATGATCACCAGGGTTTAGAGTACACCAGGTGAACACGTCGTTCACAAGACCTACAGGTTGCGAGCCTGCTAGTGTTCCACTGGACTCTCTAGAATAGTCCGTGGTTGTTATCCATACTTTGCTGAATGACGGGCCCATCATTTGGGAGAAAGGCTTCTCACATCGTCCACCTCTCATCCTCACCTCACGGTCTATTTCACCTCTCAACTCATCATCCAACTCATACTCCATCTACCCATGTTTTACCCCAACATTATCGTAGATATAAAATACATATACAGTTTAAATCATTTAAAACATGTATAAAATCTTTCATCAGCATAGACAACAAGTATTCAGACAATATGCACACATAGCACGTAATTTATAATAAAATACTTCATATCTATGTGTAAGATGAAAGGGACCATGCACTCACTTGATAGGTGGTGACTCAACACTCGGACAGCGATTCGATACTCTCAAAACAACTTTCCTTCGATAAAACCTAGTATCAACACCACTAGGGTTTAGTCTACCGATATCCGCGACAAATTAATAGTCTGATTGTTATTATTATTATTATTATATAAGCATTAAATAACACTCAATATAACTCATAATAATAGCCCAAATAATTATTTTAAGGTCTTAATAATGTTACTATAATTAATTAGAAGCTATATTAAAACTAGCGTAGGCGTAGCTCAGTTACAGCGGGTTTTTCGCAAAACCGGGCTTTGCTGGAGCAACGTTTCCTGAGCCGAAAGGCTCTTTTCTTGGAGCCTTCGGGCGCTCCAGGGCTTCCGCCTCGTGCTAGGGAGTTACCCTAGGCTTTGGGGGGGGGGGGGGGGGGGTTAGGGAGGCTTAGAGAGAGAGTTTAGAGAGAGAAAGAAGGGTTTGAAGGTGTGAGAATGAATAGAACCCAACACCTCTATTTATAGTGCAAAAATCTGATGGACTCGCCGAGTAGGGGGGGACCTACTCGCCAAGTTGGTACATGTGGTGGCCTTCTGGTGGTGCCACGTGTCCAATTCTGGTGGTGCCACGTCACCCCTATCGCGTATCACCCTTCAAACTTAGAAAAATCATAACTTTCGTATACGAGCTCCGTTTTCAACGTTATTTTTTTCAACGCGTAGGTAAAATCAAGATCTACAACTTTCGTTTAGACTCCGTCGGCTAATTCTCGACCGATCTCAAATTTAACAGTAGGAGGTGTTTAGACTGTTAAATGACCGCGAAGAATTCATAATTCCTTCATACGGACTCCATTTTCATCTGTCTTTTTACCGTTGAGTTCCTATTAATGAGATCTTCAACTCTCATTTAGGTCGCGTAAGCCAAAAACCACTCGAACTAAAATTCGAGTTTCGGGTCGTGCACTGCTAAGCCGAATCTTAGAAAAATCATAACTTCCTCATACGAAGTCAGATTTGGTCGTTCTTTTTATCGACGCTCTTAGTTTAACATATTATATGACTTTAGTTTAGATTGCTAAGGATAAATGTCACTCTATCGTAAATTCACTATTTACGCTTCCCGGTGTCGTGCCGGGTTTGCCGTAAAACTTCGACGGGCCATAACTTCTTCGTTATAACTCGGATTTCGGCGTTCTTTATATGTACGGAAACCTTGTGAAATATTCTACAAGTTGGTTAAGATTATTTATTCTAAATAATCTTTTGTCGAAAAGTCATTTTCGACCCCTGTTGCCTCTAAATTGACTAGCCCGGATCTGCGGGCGTTACAAAATACACCACTCACTACGAGGTTCGAGCTTGTCGTGAGTCTCGCGTCTCATGAAAGCCTTGAAACCCCAAACCTTGATGTGTGATAATGAGGGAACCTTCCATATCCACATCTCGTGAGGTGTTTTGGCAACCTTCTTAGTTGGGACTAGATTAAGGATATGGGCGGCTGTCTCTAAGGCATACCCCATAATGAGATAAGTAACAAAGTTCGACTCATCATGGAACGGACCATGTCCAAAAAGGTTCGATTGCGCCTCTCAGCTACACCAATAAGCTATGGTGTCTTAGGTGGCGTCAATTATGAAACAATCCCACATTCCTTGAGGTAGTCTTGGAACTCGATACTAAGATACTCACCACCCCGACCGGATCGGAGCATCTTTATCTTCCTGCCCAGCTGATTCTCCACTTCCTGTTTAAACTATTTGAATTTCTCAAAGGTTTCTGACTTATGTTTGGTTAAGTAGATATAGCCATATCTGCTATAATCATCAATAAAAGTCACATAGAAGCGGTTAGCATCCCTTGTGGCAGTTCTGAAGGGTCCACACACGTCGGTGTGTATGAGATCCAACAAACCTTCACCCCTTTCACAAGTATCAATGAAGGGTGACTTGGTCATCTTTCTAAGTAAACAAGATTCGCAAGTTTCATCCGACCTTAAGTCGAATGACTCCAAAACTGCAGCCTTTTGGAGTTTGCCTATGCGCTTCTTGCTGACATGTCCAAGACGACAATGTCACAAGCATGTCTTATCCAAATCATTTGAAGAATCAATGTGCAACACATTATTTCCTAAGTTGTCTACAACCATCACAATTTCATATACACCATTACAAGTTAATGCTTTAAAATAAAAAACACCATTATAAAAAGCATTAAGAGCAACGATTTCATTATCAAATGAAAAACTAAAACCTTGTTTGTACAAACCATGAAAAGAAATAAAATTTCTCGTCATATCAGACGAGTAACAACAATTATTCAAATCTAATTCTAACCCACTACTAAACAATAAAGAATAAACTCCAATCTTGGTGACAGGTGAAACCTTCCTATTCCCCATGATCAAGTTTATCTTCCCGTGCTCCACATCCTTACCTCTTCTTAGTCCCTGCAAATCAGAACAAATGTGAAATCCACCACCTGTATCAAGGACCCAAGAATAAGAATGTGATGAGTTATTAGATAGAATAGTATAAATACCTGCATGGGTGGCCTTAACCTCCCCATCTTTGACATCCTGCAAGTATTTGGGGCAGCTTTGCTTCCAGTTCCCTTTCTCATGGCAATAGAAACACTCTGTTTCCTTAAGAATGGTAGAGGGCGCAGCAGAACCAACCTTGGTCCCACTTGAAGAGGATCCATCAAGAGACTTTCCCTTGCGGCTCTTAGAGGGAGCCTTCCTCTTCTTCCCCTTCCCATGTCCAATTGCCAAGACAGGGGTAGTAGCTGTAGGAGTAGAAACAGATTTATCTTTGAGACTACTTTCAGTAATCCTCAAAAGGCCTTGAAGCTTGCTAAGAGTGACCTCCTCCTTGTTCATATGATAGGTCATGTTGAACTGATCATAACATGGAGGTAAGGAGTGTAGAATGATATCTAGGGCCAACTCCTCATCAAAGTTCACATTCAACTTTAGCAAGCGATTCACAAACCTTTTCATTTTCTGCAAGTGGGCCGTGATGGGTTCACCATCCTTCATCTTAGTTGTTATCATGGAGGTGATGATTTCATACCTCTTTTAACGATCACTATGATGGTATCTGTTAGGAACAAAATCCTCTTAAATCAATTAGATTCCAATAAGTAACGTAGTAGCACAATATGAAAACAAGAACACAAGATGGATCAACAGGTGTCGAAAGATTAAAAACCACAACCTCAGAAGAACTCTATAAAGAATTGCTAGTGTAGAGGCGTGCTAGGGTTACAAAGGAAGGATCGATAAAAAGAATAGTAACAACTACGGTGCATGCATGCACTATAAATACTATAACCCAAATAATAAATACGGTTGGACAGGCCCAAACCGTGTACATAATAGTCATAAATAAAATAACCCAATGACGCAATCTGTTATACCCAACAATCTCCCCCTTAGCGTTAATTGAGGCTCAAACCCTTCAGCCTTGGATTTGTTTTTACACCTCATACACCTTTGGAATCATAGCATAAAGTACTTCTCAAGCCTCAATGTACCATACAACCATATCTGAGAAGCATTTGATATCATCTTTCTTGTTGCCTTTGAACTTGCTCACTTGTTCCAAAATGTACTTAGGGAAGGTTGTGGTATAGAGATGCTTATCAGAAAGATAGAAGCATCCTTTACAAAAGTCTGCTCCAATGTGTTCCCTAGCAGAATAAACCACTAATCAATCTTCACTTTAAAGTTTCCTTGGCTTTAATTTTTCAAAATCCTTGGGATTTTCCTTTAGAACAGCCGAAGGCTTCTTTCGCAGGATACCAGTAACTTCAACATCAATCTCCGCAATCTCCTGATTATAGGACTGTATCATATGCTTATGATGAGAAATTGCAGGTTCATATTTTTCTTTGTTCTTCGGAAATATGTTGTAAAGAGTAAACCAACCATTTCGGTTAAGGCAGGGAAGATCTATAAAAGTAAACTCATAGCATTTGTTGGCTGAACCTCTTGCTACTTTAAACTTGGCGTTTGGAAAGCTATCAGTCTCGATCGGCCCTGTAACTTTCACACCGGTAATCTTGCTTAATGACTAGGTTTCCTATTGTGGCTTCATATGCTTTAGATAAAACGAGAAAAGAATATGATCCGCTCCGTTGTCTGCAATTAGAGCGTTCACTACTTTAACAAAAGAATGAAATCTAAACGCTTTTGGAGTAATTGGCAGATCCAGTTGGGAGTCTCGTGTGTTTTGAAGTTCAAACAAAACTACAAGTTCTAACCTATACTGGCTTGGAAGATCAACAACATCACGTTGGATTCGCTTGAGGGACCACTTGGGGAACAAGAGCTTTTTACTCTGAAGAGTAGCCTGTGCTTCTTTCTCATCCCTTTCCTTTTCTTCAGATTCATAGATGATTCACTGGTGCTCATCCATTTCAGCTTCACAGAATTTTCGCCTTTTTCTTTAGTAAGCTCTTCTTCGTCTTCATGATCAATAATTGGGTTGTCATGGAACAGAGTTTCCTTGCCTTTGGGTTCCTCTTAGTTTCAAAACATTCCATAAAGATCTCACAAAAATAAAAGAGATTTCGTGGTACAAACCATGAAAATGGCTTTCGTTAATTCATAGGTGATAAGCTAGAACTTTTAATGGTTCATCATCAATTCATTTTGGTGTTGGATTTTAGGTCTCACTTAGTACGTGATGAAATGTAAATAAGATCATTAACAAAGATGTTGTGTAACCATAAATCTCATTGGTAAAAGCTGAGAGTCTCAAGGGTTGTATTAATGAAAATGAAATTAATGGAGAAATTGTGAGGTGGTTCCAGAGAAAGCAAATATACCTCTGCTGTGTTAGAGTGACTAAGCAGATAACTCTTAACTCATTGTGAGAAGAGTAAGGTAGCTCATGACTAATGTGAATATAGCAGCCTAATAGGGAAGAGACGATTTGTATATATCGAATCATTAAGGCTTCACATAGATTCGTTGAGGCTTTAGACAACATACAACATCATGCTTCTAGGGGTACTTAGCTAATACATAGATAAAGAAGTTTATACCTACCCCATCAAGCAAATTAGAGTAACTCTAGATATGTGTTGTCACAAGTTTCGCTATTATCTATTTTTGGAATTTTAAATTTTTGTGAAAAAGAAAAGAAATAAAACTAAACACAAAGGAAAATATTTTTGTTATCTTTAATTTTCTGAAAAAGAAAAAAACATAAAGAAAAGTAAAATATTTTTGGATTTTGGTTTTTCTGAAAAAAAAAATAAAAACAAAAATTTAAGATATGCTTAAACGAAATAGTATACAAAATGTACAAAAAGGATATAGGAGTTCCAAACCAACAAGAAAGTCGATTAATCAACCGAGAGTTCGCTTATAGAGAATGAGTGAAGCGAATTGGAGTGAGAGTTCGGTCCATTTTGTGTCCCGAGATAATCGGAAACGAAGTAGAGCGAGCGTTCGCCTCATTTCGATTTACAAATACTTATGAGGCAAAAACAAAGGTAATTCTCATGAAAGTGAAGATGGTTTTGGAATGGATTCAACTTCCATCATTCCTAAGACTTGGAGTATTCTATTAAATGATGCTTCAAGCAAGGCTTTCATGAATATGTCAGCTAGTTCATCAGAGGATCATACGAAGTGTATTTCAATGTTGCCATCTTCTACATGATCCTTGATGAAGTGATACCTCAGTGCAATGTGTTTTCTCTTTGAGTGTTTTACCGGACTATGACAAATGTGAATAGCACTTTCGGAATCACAGTATAGAGGGATTTGTTTCATGTTCAGGTCATAGTCTCTTAATTGGCGTTGAACCTAAATGACATGTGAAGAACAAGATGCATCAGCTATATACTCAACTTCGGCTGTAGATAAGGATACACATGTTTGTTTCTTGGACTGCCAATTGACGAGTTTGCCAACGAGAAATTGACACCCACCACTAGTGCTTTTTCTATCTAAACCACATCCTCCAAGATCAGCATCTGAGAATGCTTGAACGAAGAACCCTGATTTCGCTGGATACCATATGCCAAGAGATGAGGTTCGTTTCAGGTATCTGAAGATGTTCTTGACTACCACCACGTGAGGTTCACATGGATTTTCCTGGAACCTAGCAAAATAATAAATAGAAAACATAATATCCGGTCTACTAGCTGTTAGATACATCAATGAGCCTATCATTTGACAATAGAGAGTCATATCAGCAGCTGGTTTTTCCAGAGATGGCGTTAGCTTCGTTCCGAATGTCATTGGAACCTTCACACTTGAGTCTCCCATCATGCCAAACTTCATCCGCAAGGTTTTGGTGTATGCCTCCTGATTTATGAAAATGCCTTTTGGTCCCTGTCTAATATTTAGTCCAAGGAAAAAGTTAATTGGACCCATTGAACTCATCTCAAATTTAGTTTCCATCAACTTGTGAAACTCAGCTCTTAAGCTAGGATTTGTAGAACCAAAGATGATGTCATCAACATAAATTTGGACAATCATTAGGTGGTCACCCTCTTTCTTGCAAAAGAAAGTTGGGTCAACCGAACCTTTTTTGAATTTCAACATTTTAAGAAAGCGAGTTAGGGTTTCATACCAGGCTCTAGGAGCTTGCTTTAGACCATAAACTGCTTTGTCTAAAATATAAGAGTGATTGGGAAATATCTCGTTTATGAAACCCGGTGGTTGCTAGACATATAGAGTCTCTTTTAGTTCTCCATTTAGGAAAGCACACTTGACGTCCATTGGAAACACCTCAAAATTCTTGTGTGCTGCATATGCTAGAAAGATATGAACAGATTCTAACCTTGCTACTGGAGAAAAGGTTTCTTCATAGTCGATTCCTTCTTCCTGATAATATCCCTTGACTACTAGTCTCGCTTTATTTCTTATCACATTGCCTTCTTTATCCACTTTATTGCGAAATGCCCATTTTAAACCAACAACTGATGCATCTGGTGGAGTTGGTATTAATCTCCAGACCTTGTTTCGCTCAAACTCATTGAGTTCGTCATGCATCGCTTGCACCCAATCAGAATGATCAAGAGCTGTGTTGACGGTTTTGGGTTCAACCTTAGAAACAAATGAGTTGAACATAAAAAATTTCACCTTAGAGAATAATGCATTTTGCTTTGCTTTTAACTGAGATCATGTGAGGACATCTGTAGTAGATTCACCTATGACTTGAGCTTTTGGGTGATCTTTGGTCCATTTCGTTAGTGGAGGATAATTTGGATCATAAGAAGGATCCAGTTCAACATTTACTTCTTCAAATTTAGACTGTACATCTGAATCATCATTCACTTCTTTATTCTCCCCCTCGAATGATGATGACTATTCGCCCTCAGGTTCAGAGTGCTCCCCCTCAACTAGATGTTCATACGTAATGCTTGGAGATGGATTCTCCCCCTCGAAAGGCACATTAGATTTAGAAGACAAAGACGAACCCTCCCTCTGCAATGGCGTGTTTTCTTTTATTGTTTCGCTTGAACTTGGAGGTCCGTTTGAACTAGGAGGTTTGTTTTCCATATCTTTCACAACATTGCCGATGATTTTCTTGAATTCATGTTCTTTATTGTCTGCAACATTATATTCAGAGGAAATGGCTTTTCCTAGTGCATCAAAGAGAAGCATAAACTCATCATATAAGCATTACTGGACTTGGCTTTGGAAATATCTCCTCTAATATACTTTCTTTTTCCTGAATCTTCTTCAAATAGTTATCATCAAATGTGAAATAGTAGGTCTCTTATATCTTCTTTGTGCGTTTGTTGAGAACCCGAAATGCCTTAGAATTCAGCGAATACCCCAAAAATATACCTTCATCAGCTTTCACGTCGAATTTGTTCCGGTTTTCCTTGGAATTGAAGATGAAACACCTGTAACCAAATATGTGAAAAAAAAAACTTAACGTTAGGTTTGCAATTGTTAATAATTTCATATGGAGTAAGAGAGAATCGTTTGTTCAAAATAGATCTATTTTGGGTGAAGCATGCAGTTGCAATAGCATCAACCCAGAAATACAGAGGGAGCAAAGCAAAGGTAAGAATTGTTCAAGCAACTTCACACAAGGAACAATTTTGTCTTTCAACTATGCCATTCTATTGTGGAGTATAAGGAGAAGAAAAATTGTGTATGACTCCTTTATCGGACAGAAATTCTTCGAAGTCTTAATTTTTGAATTCTAGCCCATTATCGCTGCGAATATTGCGAACTAGCTTTCGCAGTTGAAGCTCAACTTTCTTTATAAAACTCTTGAGTGTAGAAGTTGCCTCAGATTTCTATTTAAGAAAGAACATCCAACTGAAGTGTGAAAAATCATGATTTATAACAAGAATATACTTACTACCACCGACACTTTCAATTGTAGAAGGTCCACAAAGGTCTATGTCTAGTAGTTCTAAAGATTCGATGATTTTCGTGTTTACTTGAGTTGGATGGATTTTCCTACATTTCTTCTACATTTCACATGCTACACATAAATGATCCTTGTCGAACTTCAATAGAGGAAGCCCTCGCACATGATCACCAAACACGAGCTTGTTGATATCCTTGAAATTTAGGTGCTAAGTCGGAGTGAGCTTTCGTTAGCAGGCAGACAACAGGTTTTCCTCTTATCAGTTTCAAAGTTAGAGGATACATTTCTCCTTTCCTAGGAGACTTTAAAAGAACAACTTTCGTTCCCTTCTCTATAATTTTAGAACCTTCGTCATTAAAGAAAACTTTCAAGCCTATTCCCACAACCAATTGAGAAACACTAATCAGGTTGTGTTGTAGTCCTTCCACATAAGCGACCTTTCGTATTGATAAATCTCCGTTTATTATCATCCCATAGTCTTTGATAGTTTCAAACGAGTTGTTACCATACTTTAAATTTCCCCCATCTTTCAGAGCACGAAACTCCCTCAGCTCTTCATTCCTCCCAGTCATGTGACGTGAGCAGCCATTGTCGATGTACCATTCATTGTCAAACTGCTCGTCACAAATAACCTGCAAAGATTAAGCAAATTTAGAAACCTAAAGTTGTTTGGGTCCTGGTGAGGCTTTTACAGAACGAGGAAAAGTGTCAGCAAGATTAACCAAATAAGTTCACTTAATTAAAGTGGTTTGATCTTTCCTTTTAATGGTGAAAACTTTAATCTTATTATCTTTGAGTTTCGTTTCTCTTAAATCAGATTGTTTTCTTTTATATTCGATATAATTTTTGACAAATTCTCTCTCCACTTTCTTAGAATAAGATATCGAATTTTTAGTTGCAATTTTAGACTCCTCGACTAGCTTTCCATTTCCTTTGACATCTTTGGGTGAAGTTTTTACGGGTTGAGGAAAATGGGATTTTAGTTTCTTGCTTGATTTCACTGAAGAAGAAGGTTTTGAATCAAAGTTCTTTGATTGTTTTTTCTGATTGCAAGAATAACAGT